AGTGTTGAATGATTGGCCAGAGCTTTTGATTGGAGGCTCCGACACCGTTGTCATGGAAGACAATGAAGGTCACTCCTTCCTGCCCAGGGATATCCTGGTTGATAACAGGGAGTGACGGCTGGCGTAGGCAGTTGTCGAGCATGAACTTGTCGGTGGAGGTGGCACTGCACCACAATTTGCGGACAGCACGGCAGCGAAGAACGTCCTTTGGTGGCAACCGGATGAGGATCTCTTCGATGACAATCCACTCGGGGAGGTCGTCGAGGACAGTCCCACGGCTTCTTTTCGTCATGGTGATTGACTGCCGACGGTATTCCATCAGATCTAAAGGAAAGAAAAAAGAGATGGGGATGATTGAGCTTATCCATACCCCTAAATTCAACTTGGCAAGCACAGAACAGTAGTATCTGGCACATGTCAAAGAGATAATGTGATCCCATTCAAATGGTCTATCGCAGAGTACTACTATGAAGAATCTACTGTATAAAAAAGCAGCCAGGCATGCGACATAAATCAAAACAGTGAATTAGCTAGATCTTTGCAATTGGTGCCGAATCCTACATAATAAGCAGAAAATCATTAAGCAGATATGCCAGCAGTTTTCTCATTACGTGATGCAATCACAACAATAGTTCATATGTTTCATATGCTTGTTGGAAAATCAATCACCATAAAAGGAGAGACGGACATTGATTTATTTATTATTCAGTATTCTATATATAAAAGTATTTACTGCAATAACACGTCAGTAACAGAATACAAGGTTAAAGGAATGAACAGATGCTTCATATGCTTGTTGTGATCACATCATAGTACTAGTGACCGCAGATGATATGTCATCGACCAAAGTGTGCATTGTAATCAAATATCCATGCATTATGCACCAATCAGGTAGCAGAACTTTTAATCCTTGTTGACTAATCTAATCTGCAATATTGTTTACATACTGCCCATGCATCTGCTCATAACTTAAATCTAATATAATAATTGGTAAAAGAAACAAGGTGAATTTGTGGGGGGTTCCAAGTGCAGTTCGTCTTACCAGTACGAGAGCATTGGGCGCTTCCTCCCGCTCCGCCGCTGCACGCGTCGTCGTCGCGGGGAAGGGCGGCGGCGACGCTCCCGAAGCGGAGCGGACGAGGGCTCGCTCGTCGGCGACAGATATGGGGAGGGGGGCGAGGAGGAGAATGCGCCGAGGGCTATCGGAGGATCTTCTCGCTGCTGCGCCGGCGGGGGGAGAGGAGAGTGAGGGGAGGCCAGGACCGGAGTGCGCTGGGGAGGCCCGTGCGAGTGGGTCGCAGGGCAGCTATGACTCCAAGCAAAATACAAAACTTGTCTCAAAAAAGCAAAATACAAAACGTCTTCTAAGAAAACAAAAACAAAGCGTTTCTAAAAAAAAGCAAAATACAAAGGATTCTCTCTCAAAAAAACAAAATACAAAGAAGATCCCAAAAACAATTACTGATATTATCCCGTGTTTAATAACCATTGTATCATCCCATGAAACCATTAAAAAAATCACTACATTCTTGTGATGCCTTTGGACTTCAAAAATGGTTGTTTATTTGGCAGGGCAACTTCAACTGTTTACAGATGTGTCAGCAGATAGTGACAGGGGAGTCGGTCATCCGACTGTATGCATAAAATAAGCATCAAATCCGGATAGCAGGGTGGGCCAGACGGGCCTAGAGAAAAGGCATAATTTGATGTAATGACATGTGGTCCAAGTGATAGTGGGCTCAATGAACTGTCCAGACTCCCCCAAAGTTCCACCAGATTTAGGTCGGATTTAGCGAATTTCAGTGGTCCAGATTGATCAAGGTCGGTGCATTTGTTGGATGGCAAAGGTCATTGATCAATGTCCAGACCATCATGTGGTCTAATATTTAGTGGCACGCCAGGCTTTAGTGAAATGTACTATACATGAGGAAAGCACTAACAATACAGTATGACTGCACCTTTCGCAAAAAAAAAAATTTGCAGGATGATTGCACCATCAACGAGCCCTTCCTCTACAGGGCATTACCCTTATATTTGATCTCCAAATTATACTAGGTCTTTAGGTTTTCTCCGACGCTTCCTGCATGAATTGGGACGGCTTTGTCCATCGAGATATCAGATCTGACAGAGTGGAGTGGGAGGTATGGCGTATGCTCGAGTTTCTCCAAACTACAGCTGAGGTGCTTAACAAGAATGTTGAACCTGCGTTTTCGTGAAGTAGCTTAGCTCATACTCCCTCCGTCCGGAAATACTTGTCATTAAAATGGATAAAAGGTGATGTCTATAGAACTAAAATACATCTAGATACATTCCTTCTTATTCATTTTGATGACAAATATTTTCGGACGGTTGGAGTACAAGTTGTCTATGTAGCCATGCCTCCTCTCCCAAGTTTAGGTTTTCTCCGCCTCCCGCCGGCGTCGTCGCCGGTTTGCCTTGTCTCCGGTGGCCTTAGGCCCATGGAGGTGTGATGGACCCCGGCCTTTGCCTGTTGGAGGCTTCCGTTTTTAGATATTGTTTTGTGTTTTGTTAGGGTTTATGTCCTACGCAGGAAGGCGAGACTTAGCGGCTCCCTAAAGATGAAATAAGGTTCTCTTAACCTAGCCCCGTTCCGGTGGTGCGTCTACCACCATCGGTGGGCGTGTGGAGATGTGTCTCCGGCGGATCTATCTTTGATAGATCTGCTCCGATCTATTCGTCGTTCATCCATGTTCATGTGTATTAAGGTTGGATTCTTCGGATCTACGCTACTCTTCATCAGTGACGTTTGTTGTTCTAGCGCGCTAGTCCTATGAGGCCTTAACACGACGACTTTCTGATATTCTACTACAAGTTTTGCCCGGCTCCGACGAGGGAGGGGCGATGACTGTGGCGCGTCTTCGGCTCGCTTCATTTGTTTTGTCGTCGCTAGGTGGTCTATGAATCTAGATGTATTTTTTATTATTTCTGATGTTCGTTGTACTACCATGATTGAAGATGAATATATCGAAAATTTTCAAATAAAAACAAAAGCTTAGCTCATACAGATAGCCAATGTCCAGTGCTCCAGGTTTTCCAGCAGGCCATCTTCTCTGGCCATGTTATCCATGCTGTATTTTGTAACTGAGCTAAGTTCAGTGCAATTTAGCGCCTTTGAGTGCCTTCCCCTTTCCAAATAAAAAAGAGAACCAATGAATTGATCAATCGATACTGCTCAGCATTGATTCTTCTTGCTTTCACATGCACATACGAACAAGCTCATGCGCATTGTGCCTGAGAACCTCCTGTGCAGTGCAGTCCTCCGGCCATCTGCAAGTTGCTCCACAATACCACAAGTCCACAACCACAAGTTCAACGGCAGATATTTTTCCACCAAACTGGCTGCAGACTTCCTGGCTTCCAAATTCTAAGTTACATAACCATAACCATCATTTCCTGTTACAGATCGAACGAATCGTTACCTCCGATGCCACATTGCATCCCAAATGTATGACTACGAAAGTTTCTAACAGAAAGATAACGACAGTGGGCAAGTGGGGGTTAAAACATGTTATCCAATCATTTTCAGAAACGAATGAAAAACACATGGAACTTCAGGGAGAGTTTTTTTTTTTTGACGGTTAACCGCAGGAGCTCTGCTTTTCATTATAGACGAGGGAAAACTGTACAGACCGAAAACAGTCGGAACAAAGGATAGAGAAAAAGAAAAGAAGGAAAAAAAAACTACTACTCGCAAAAAGCCTGACCAATAGTCAGGAGGTCGTCTCTAATCAAGCTGTATCCATTAGTCTAGTTGCATCAATAAAAACTGCAGGCACATTTCAGCTAGTCGTAAACCGGGCGGCAAACTGTCGACATGCAAGCTAGCACATCTTTCCCGGTCCAGGAGCAGGAGAGAAGATGTTCAAGTCGATCCTTGTCTCAGAGTAAGAAGAAAGCATACAGGTCTAACACTTTCAAAGCTGGGCAGTCCAAACCATGACAGCCTGCAAGAGCAGTTAAAACTTAAACCGAACCATAAACAGGAAACAGCTCTACAGCCTTAGAGCAAAATACCACTGCTTTTTTTTTTGCGGGGAAGCAAAATACCACTGCTTGACAAACCTTACAGCACACCATAACATGATGGTACAAACTGAAGTACTAACTCACTGTAAAGACACCATCAACTCATTTGTACCCTAACAGCACCAAATCCTTGACACGAAAGCAACAATAAACAAATACCCACCCCGGCGACATATAACCAAAATACCAAATTCATTATCTAAACAGGACAAAGTCAAGATACCAAATTTAACTCAAGAGTCAAGAATAGGAATCAGATCACTTTATCAAAAGTTTAACAATAGCATACTGAAGAAATAGAACTGTGTTAAGAACCAAACTGCACAACTATGCAAGTATCCTTGATAAAACAAAATATCGTCACACAACATAGACCAGGACAAACCAGGTGCCACAAGGAATTCTACTTTGGAGTTAAACCCAAATTGCATACAGAGCAGCGAATATCAAACTATTAACCCCAGCAAAGATCCAAACTAACCATTCCAACAACTACCTACAAGTCCCACAATTAACTTCTATTGGCAGAGCGCAGATCTCCCCCACTGTCTTAAAAAAATATCCTCTAAAAGAAAATGACTACAACTGCAGCTCTCATATTTTTTTGATGGCACTGTTTTCCTAGAAACCATGCTAGATGGCATGTCAACACTGCACTAATTCTCTAGTAGCACGAATAATTGGCATTTCAAATTGCAGCCAGTGCCATTCATACTACTTAACAATGAGAAGTGACAGTAAACCGGGAAGAAGTAGCACAGGTGTATAGCATAGATACTCCAACATATCATGATGACGCTCAAGACAGCACAAAAGGCACCCGATGGTAGCAAAAGAGCTAGAACAGCCATATGCATTGTTCAGTTCTACTAGTAAAGTAAGAACTAGGACCTTGTGCTCATAAAGGATGGATACTCCAAAGGCATACATGGCAACTAAAATTACAAACCAGCTTATAGCCCTATGAAGAATGGAGGCTCCTTATCCACACCACCTTCTTCTTGCATCTCACAGAACGGAAGTGGAATCATGCTCTCTTGAAAGTACTGATTTGTGAAGTATGTTGAACATGTTCCCTCTTTCATTTCGTAATATCCCAAAAACTTTCCGTCAGTGTCACAATGCAACAGATAATCAGGACCCCCTGATGGAGTGTGACAACAGATCAGCAGCTCACACTGGTTAAGCAGTGCCATCTTAGAAATAAACTTGAACTGTGGTGATGTATGTTGGAAATATGAGCAATTTACCGAGTGATTTTATTAACAGAAATACTAGATAAAGCATGACTAGTGTAGCAGTGATAAAACAAGCCATGCAATTTGACAAAGAGAAGGTAAACAACATGTTCATATATGAACCATAACTAAACATATCTAAAGCATACAGTATAGCAGGTTGCATATATGAAATAGAGTTTAACATATCTAGGGCAAAAACTAAAACAAGGAACTGTAGCAGAACCTCCAATAGAAAGGGGAGAAACACGTACGTGACACTAGCAGGAGCAGAGGCACTGGACTTGGGGTCGGTGTCCTCCATGTCATCGAGGAGGTAGTCGACGTCAGGGAAGTAGTCGTCGGCAACCGGATCGTCCGTGATGAAGATCGTCCATGATGAAGCAGCCAGTAGTCGCGCTGAGCGCTCCCCAAAAACTTTATCACCCTTCTCCCGTACAGGACTCAAAAGGTGCGGTCTCGGAGGCCTACTGTCCCGACCTGCGGTGCACGCCGCAAGCCGGGATGAGGAAGAACGTAGCAGCAGCGCAGTGCTCAGGAACTTGTGGCGAGACGAGGAAGAGATTCCGGTGCGTCTCTCTGGGAGGAGCGACCTCCCTTTTATAGGCGCAAGAGAAGAAGGCGAGAGGCTGCGCTGGGAGCTGAAGAGAATGAGGGAGATGAAACGAACAGGCAGCAGGCGAAGAGGTGCGCCGTTCGTATTCAATCTTCACTACAGCAAAACGTTTCAGCTTTCGCGTGCCCTTTCGTATATCCGTAGTGCGTGGCAAAAATTTACATCGGCTCGGCTCATTCCCGCAACCCGCGTCGTGTCGTGTCGTGTCGTGACGTGACGTGACGAGGCGAGGCGAGGCGGGCGGCGGAGAAGGAGCGCGCGTGGATGTCCCTCTTGTTCTCATGCTCATACAAGTGGGGAAGAAGCCGAGAAGTGCATCGATGCACGCAGCGGCAGCTGCATGCACGGCATCGACGGTGCCAGCAACTTTACGATTCGAATCAGGAAAGCGTGCTAGTTGGAGTATAGCTAAACGCTGGCTATCGTTTTGTATCGTATGTGCGTATTTGAAGGACCACGACTGACAGCACGGCCTGACGCAAGGAAGGTACCCAGTACGCACTTCAGACGCGAGGACGACCGGCCAATGTAAACGAGAGATCAGAGAAAGCGCCTATTCTTGCTCTCGTGACTGCGTCGCCGCTAGGTAAACACGAAACCGCCGACAGCCTGATCTCCGGCCCCGGCCATCTCCGCGCCGTCAGAGGTCAGATCCGGCGTCCGCGTTGCACGGTCTCTCCGTCCTCCCTGCAGTTGGCCGCCTCGATGTTGTTTGGGGGCGGATGAAGCTCGCGCACGGCCCCCTCCGGCAGCGACCATGCCAGCTCCGCCGCCCGCCGCTGCCCCGGCTGCGCCCCAGCCGAGGCTCCGCGACCAGCTCCCTCTGGTGACGGCCACCGCTGCTCTGCCGTCCGCCATGGCACCCTCAGCTGCAACAGGCACACTACTCCACAAGGAAGCGGCGACGTCTGCGACATCCATGGCGACCCGCCTCCATTACACGTGTTGCTGCCGACTCCGTCCTTCCACCCCCACCCCCGACAGCGCACCAGTCTGAGACGCCCATGGCGATCTCCGACTCCACTCCATCTGTTGTTGCCGTCTCCGGCCTTCCACCGCTGCCCCCTGCAGCGCTGCACTCTGGCACAGCCCCTGCATCAATCACTGATGGACTGCAGAGCGATGCGTGCATTGGTGTCCTTGGCAGTGGCCGCGGTCAAAAAACACAACGAAAGCGTGTCAGAACAGCATCTTTCACACGCAATATTGTTGTAAAAAGAAATACCCCTGCACGCCCTGGTCCTTTGTGTCAGTTCCGTACCCACCATGACAGTGCGTCGGACACTGTATTCGCAAGTATGGACCGATGTATGTTGCCTTTGTGCATTTCAGCGGAGTTTGATGTACAAATCACTCCGCCTGAACGTGCGGCTGGATTGCTGCGTGCAGCTGCCGCTGCGTTCAGAACGTCCGCTCTCGGAAGGAGCCTCCCTTATAAAAAGGTCCAACTCCCTCTAAACTAGTAAGGTGAGACTAAACTTTAGTTTCACCTCTTGCCTTACACGAATGGGCTGTGTGGGCCTCTAGGATTTATTAGGAATTTCTGAAAATACTATTGGGCTAGGCCCAAATAGAAAAAATTCCAGCAATCCCTGACAAGATCCCAGAGGCACACAAAATTTGCCTTTGGTTCCAAAACACTGTTTTATATACCGGTACTGCAGTGGAGACTGTTAAGTTGAACTTCCACCTAGAACTCTATGCTACACTAGTAAGCAACTTGAACAGTGGACTGGGCCTTGAACTGCAAGTTTTCTGCGAATCTAGCTTCACATAAAGCCTTGACCGATACGTGGCTACCGTGGGTCTTCCCCGCGGGTGGAGCTTATGCGTCATACTCCGTGACCTTTCATGAGTTTACTAGAGAGAACCCTACTCTCATAGATTGCGACGTTTAACAATCAGACTCATATAGGTGCATTCTTCAAAAGATGTTCTGCAGGACAACATCTCTGCTTCAAAGAGCCACTTAGAACACATTAAGATATACATCAACCTGCCATGCAGCTTAGGAGAGTATTGCATCTTCATGGAGTGGTATTTTAACAGTAGGGATACTCTCCTCCCAGTTGACCAACAGCTTGTCTTCCACATCTAATTCACGGGATCTCCGATCACAAAGAATAGGTTACCACTGTGAACAACTCATATTGTGGGTCTCATACCCATCTCCCTCGATGCATTATCTATCACATTACATGATAGACCTTTAGTAAAAGGATCTGTCAGATTTTTAGACGTTTGGATATAATCCAATGCAATAACTCCGGAGTTTTTCATTTTTCTGACAGACTTTAACCTTCTCTGAACGTGTCTTGATGACTTCATGTTATCCTTTGAGCTTCTCACTTTAGTGATCACAGTTTGATTGTCACAGTTCATAAGGATACCCGGTACAGGTTTCTCAACTACCGGCAAGTCATTCAAGAGCCGGCGAAGCCAATCTGCTTCGACCGTAGCTGTATCTAGTGCTGTGAGTTCTGCTTCCATTGTTGACCTCGTTAAGATGGTCTGCTTGCAAGACTTCCAAGAAACAGCGCCACCTCCATGAGTGAATACATAACCGCTCGTGGCCTTTATCTCATCAGCATCTGAGATCCAGTTTGAGTCACTATACCCTTCAAGCACCTTTGGATGCCCAGCGTAGTGAATTCCATAATTCGTAGTGCCTTTCAAATAACTCAAAACTCTCTCTAGAGCTTTCCAATGCACATCTCCTGGTTTTGAAACAAACCGACTCAGTTTGCTAACAGCAAAAGAGATGTCAGGTCTTGTAGCACTTGCTAAGTACATAAGCGATCCAATAATCTGAGAATACTTCAATTGATCTCTAGCAATTCTTCGATTCTTTCGAAGCAGCACGCTAGCATCATATGGTGTTGGAGAGGGCTTGCAGTCACTATAGCCAAAGCGACTCAAGATCTTTTCCACATAGTGAGATTGAAGCAATGTAATCCCACCATCATCATCTCTCAACAGCTTGATGTTCAGAATGACATCAGCCACTCCTAAATCCTTCATCTCAAAACAGCGAGATAGGAAATCCTTGACCTCCTTAATAACATTCAGATTTGTTCCGAAAATCAGTATGTCATCAACATACAAGCAAAGCATAACTCCCTCGCCCCCACCATGGCGATAGTACACACATTTGTCAGCTTCGTTCACAACAAAGCCTGCAGCTGTTAAAGTTCTTTCGAATTTCTCATGCCACTGTTTAGGTGCTTGCTTGAGTCCATACAAAGACTTCAGCAACTTGCACACTTTCCCTTCCTGACCATCTATTACAAACCCATCTGGTTGTTCCATATAAATTTCCTCGTCCAACTCTCCATTTAGGAAAACAGTCTTAACATCCATTTGATGAACGAGAAGACCATGTGAGGCAGCTAGTGAAAGTAGAACTCGAATAGTTGTCAGTCGAGCCACAGGTGAGTAAGTATCAAAGAAGTCTTCACCTTCCTTTTGGGTATAACCCTTTGCCACGAGCCGAGCCTTGTACTTTTCAATAGTACCATCAGGCCTAAGCTTCTTCTTGAATACCCATTTGCATCCTATAGGTTTGCACCCAGAAGGACGATCAGTTATCTCCCAAGTTTCATTCGCCAAGATGGAATCCATCTCGCTACGAACCGCTTCCTTCCAGTAGTCAGCATCTTCAGATGCATAGGCCTCTGAAATAGAACTGGGAGTGTCATCTATGAGATACACAAGAAAATCATCACCAAAAGACTTGGCAGTCCTCTGTCTCTTGCTCCTAGTAGGAACTTCATTGTTCTCCTCCACAGGACTTTCAAAGTGTTCCATCGAAATGGCAGGTTTAGTAATTATAACTGGTTCCTGATTCGATGAACTAGACATCTCCTGATTAGATGAGGTAGCCATATCCTTCATGGGAAAGATGTCTTCAAAGAAAGTCGCATCATTTGACTCCATGATCGTACCGACATGCATGTCAGGTACCTCAGATTTTACAACCAAGAATCTATAGCCCTATGAAAAGCATATCCCAGGAAAACACAATCCACAGTTTTGGGTCCCAGCTTCCGCTTCTTTGGAATTGGCACATTGACTTTCGCCAAACAACCCCAGGTTCGTAGATAAGAGAGCTTTAACCTTTTCTTCTCCCATTCCTCGAATGGAGTTATCTCTTTGTTCTTTGTGGGAACTCGGTTTAGGACATGACAAGCAGTCAATATCGCCTCCCCCCACCATGCCTTGGAGAGACCCGATGTGTCTAACATGGCGTTAACCAAATCAGTTAGAGTACGGTTCTTTCTTTCGGCCACCCCATTTGACTGAGGTGAGTAGGGAGGCGTCCTCTCATGGATTATACCATGTTCCGCACAAAAAGCATCAAATTCATTGGAAAAATACTCTCCACCATGGTTGGACCTAAGCCTCTTGATTTTTCGATCAAGTTGGTTTTCCACTTCAGCTTTATAGATCTTGAAAATGTTCAAAGCCTCATCCTTAGATTTCAGAAGATACACACGGCAGTATCTAGTGGAGTCATCAATTAACGTCATGAAATATTTCTTTCCACCTTTTGTCAAAACACCATTCATTTCACATACATCTGAATGTATAAATTCTAGTGGTGCAAGATTTCTCGTCTCCGCAGTCACGTGAGACTTACGAGGTTGCTTAGCTTACACACACACTTGACACTTAGATCCCTTGACAGTGGTGAAACTAGGGATTAAGTTCAACTTCGCTAGTCGCGACATGCAACCAAAGTTAACATGACAAAGACGTGAATGCCACACATTTGATTCACTATTGTTGCAAATATGATTAACAACTTTATTGCAAACGTCTGATAAGGATAAACGAAACAGGCCTCCTGACTCATAGCCTTTACCAACAAAGGTTCCATACTTGGATATTACAAATTTATTCGACTCAAAGTCAAGCTTATAGCCATCTCTACACAGAAGAGATCCGCTAACAAGATTTTTATTGACGGAGGGGACATAATGCACGTTCTTCAGCCGCACGATCTTCCCCGAAGTAAACTTCAGATCGACCGTGCCAACACCACGAACAGAAGCACTTGAACCGTTGCCCATCAGCACGGTTGAAGTCCCTGTGGTCTGATAAGACGAAAACATAGAAATATCACCGCATACATGCACATTAGCACCCGTGTCAATCAACCAGTCAGGAGAATGACATACTGAAAGAATAGTGGAAAATATACCATACCCAGCATCCTTCATGTCAGTGTCTCCAATGACAACATTAGCGGTCTTGCCGCCTTTCCCAGGATGACGCTTGTCATAGCGATTAGGGCAATTAGGAGCCCAATGATTAGGATCTCCACACACATGAAAAGCACCTTTCTTCTTGCCATTCTTCTTCTTGAAGTTCGTGTGTTGCACAACCTTGTTCTTTCCATCAAACTTTGCTTTACCATCAAACTTGCCCTTGTTCTTGAACTTGTGGGGCTGGAAGTTCTGCTTCTGTACCACATTGGCACTAGATCCTCCCTCAATACCTTGAGCACGTGTGTCATTTGCTCTCGCCTTTTCTTCCACATCAAGAGTACCAATGAGATCCGAAACAGAAAACTCATGTCTCTTATGTTTCAGTAAGGTAGCAAAGTTCCTCCATGAAGGAGGGAGCTTAGTGATGATACCCCCGGCAACAAACTTGTCCGGTAGCATGCAATTGAAGTGCTCAAGTTCTCTAGAAAATGACTGTATCTCATGAGCCTGCTCAACCACGGAGCGCTCTTCAGTCATCCTGTAATCATAGAATTGCTCCATGATGTACAGCTCAGTGCCGGCATCCGAGACCCCAAACTTGGCCTCAAGTGTGTCTCACATATCTTTTCCATTATCAATTGACGCATAAGCATCAACTATGATCTCTCCAAGAACACTCAAGAGCGCAACCTTAAACAAGGTATCCATTTTCTGAAAAGCTTGTGCCTGTTGGGCATCTTGCTCTCCTTCAGGTTTGCCAAGAGTGGCGTCATAGCAACTCATGGTTTGAAACCATAAGACTGCTCTCACGCGCCACCTCTTATAGTGGATACCCTCAAACATAGGAGGTCTCATGGAAGCAGCAAAACCACTTGGGGTAAATTGCCTATGATAAGGTTTTTGGATTGTTGGAAATATGAGCAATTTACCGAGTGATTTTATTAACAGAAATACTAGATAAAGCATGACTAGTGTAGTAGTGATAAAACAAGCCATGCAATTTGACAAAGAGAAGGTAAACAACATGTTCATATATGAACCATAACTAAACATATCTAAAGCAGACAGTATAGCAAGTTGCATATATGAAATAGAGTCTAACATATATAGGGCAAAAATTAGAACAAGGAACTGTAGCAAAACCTCCAATAGAAAGAGGAGAAACACGTACGTGACAGTAGCAGGAGCAGAGGCACTGGACTTGGGGTCGGTGTCCTCCATGTCGTCGAGGAGGTAGTCGACGTCAGGGAAGTAGTCGTCGGCAACCGGATCGTCCGTGATGAAGCAGCCAGTAGTCGCGCTGAGTGCTCCCCAAAAACCTTATCACCCTTCTCCCGTACATGACTCAAAAGATGCGGTCTCGGAGGCTACATCGGCTCGGCTCATTCCCGCAACCTGCGGCGCGTCGTGACGAGGCGGGCGGCGGAGGAGAAGCGCGCATGGATGTCCCTCTTGTTTTCATGCTCATACAAGTGGGGAAGGAGCCTCCCTTATAAAGAGGTCCAACTCCCTCTAAACTAGCAAGGTGGGACTAAACTTTAGTTCCACCTCTTGCCTTGCAAGAATGGGCTGCGTGGGCCTCTAGGATTTATTAGGAATTTCTGAAACTACTATTGGGCTAGGCCCAAATAGACATAATTCCAGCAATGTATTCATCGCTAACAAGTTAATCCGGTATTTCAAGGCCCAGACCTCAGCCTCATAGTCTTGCATCACCCAAATCTCTATGCTGGCATCATTGTTGATGCATGAAGCAAGCTTGTTGTCCATCTCCAACAACGACACCCGACGGCCCAACCAGCCAGGACTGCGCATCCACCGGAATGTCTCAGTAACTGTGTCAAACACCATAATGTCCACGGCAGTCTCCATGTAGATTCCTGTTAACCAGTGCAGGCTGCCTCGGTGGTTGACTTGTGAACTATAGCAGGAATCAAATTCCCCTTGGTGCCAGAATTCCGGCAAACGCGATAACACAGATGGCCGACTGATGATTCTCGGCTTGTCGGATCCAAACCTGAGAATGTAGCCACGAAGGCAGCCACGTGAGAACCAGAGCACCCGGTATTCCCCAGATGGTTGGTGCTGGTAGAATCCGGCTATGTAGATGCGGGGAACCCCTGCCGATGATGATGGAACCCGAGGTTGCGGTAGTATAGCACATTTGCGAGTGGCCGGGTTGCAGATCTAGAAATCAGACTCACTGGACAAGATGAGAAAGCCATCACAGGCGCCCAGGAGATTATGGAACTTAGAGTGTTGGATGATTGGACAGAGCTTTTGATCGGCTCCGATACTTTTGTCACGGAAGACAACGAACCTGACTCCTTTCTGTCCAGGGATATCCTGTCTGATGACAGGGAGCGATGGCTGTCGGTGGCAATTGTCAAGCATGAACTTGTCGGTGGAGGTGGCACTGCGCCACAACTTGCAGACAGCACGACAGCGAAAGAGGTCCTTGGGGGGCAACCAGACGAGGATCTCTTCGATCACAATCCACTCGGGCAGGTCGTCGAGGACGGTCGTGTGGCTTCTTTTCATCATGGTGATTGACTGCCAGTCTGCCACCGGTGTTCCGTTAAATCTACGGTAAAAAAAAAGCTGGAGATGATTGAGCTTATCTGTACCCCTAAATTCAACTTGGCAAACGCATAACGGTATTTGGCATAGGTCAAAGAGATAATGTGATGCTTTATATTCAAATGTTCTATTGCAGAGTACTGCTATGAAGAATCTACTACTCCCTTCGTCCCAAAATTCTTGTCTTAGATTTGACATCCGTATCAAGACAAATCTAAGACAAGAATTTTGGGACGGAGGGAGCATATAAAAGTGCAGCCAAAATCCACTGGCACGAACCATAACTCAAAAGTGTGAATTGGCTTGAGTTTTACAATTGTCGTCCCAATCCTACATGATTAGCAGGAAATCATGCGGCGTACTACTTCAATGTAACAACTTTTACTGCAAGAACATGTCAGTAGTGACTAATGAATAGAAGGTTAAACGAATGAACAAATGCTTCCTGTGCTTGTTGTGATCACATCATAGTTCTGGTGACCTCAGTTGTGATGCCATCGAACATAGTGTACTTTGTAATCAAATAGTCATGCATAATGCACCAATCAGCTAGCACAAATGTCAATCCCTGTTGACTAATCTGCAGTAATGGCTATAACTCTATATATGGGCCATGTGTTGTGATCGCATCAGGTAATCGGAGGGGAGACAGGGGTCCCCAGACCAGAGGGTCTAGGGACTAATAGTGGCTTCTTTTCTACCAATGTCCGTGTTGCTCATAATTGAAATCTGATATAATTGGTAAAAAAAACAAGGTGAATTTGTGGGGTGCTCCAAGTGCAGTTCGTCTTACCGATACGAGAGCAGCGTGTTAGTGTTGATCTCCTCTTAGTTGGCCCAACGGCCAACTGGACCCTTGACTCAGTCTGATCGGGGACACTCAACTCAACTGGGTTGCGGGCCCCTGTCGCGCAGCTCCATATAAGGGAGGTGGGGGCCACGAGTGCAGGATGCCAAGAATGGTTCGCACCCCACCTGCCCTTCCTACTGATCGAGGCGGAGCTGACAGCGACGGGAAGCTCCGCCATCGCTATCTCTCTGTCCACTCATCGCCGCCGTCACCATCCCACCACTGCCACTGGCGGCAGTTCATTGCACCAGGAGAAAGTAATACCTATCACTACTACCGAAAATCTCAGGCCGATCCGATCCAGAGGGATCTATCAATGGTATTAGAGCCACACTTTGGCTGAGTTTTTCGGGTACCAAAAGAAATCAGAGATAGAAAGATCCCTCCCTCCCCTGAAGAACCCTAGAGAGGGCAAAGTGCATCACCAGAGAAGGGCCTCTGGACTAACCGGAAAAGTTGCGCCACCGCAAGGTCGTGCCGTCCCTCTCGATTCAGATGCGCATCGGCAAGCCGAGGCATCTGAAAGAAGGACACCACCCTGCAAAGGGCAAAGGGGGCACCGCAGCCACGCCGTTCGACGGCGGCGCGCTTCCGCTAAGGAAACGCGTCACCGGCGAAGGGGAGGCATCGGTGCCACGGTTCGTCGTCGTCCATCGGGTGCTGCAAAAGGCCGAGGACGGCGCATCTCTCTCTGTCACGGGAGAAGAGAAAGGGGAAAGTGGAGAAAGGGAGCTCGCGCGGTGCCGCGGCGGCCGTTGCCGGTGACCGGCGGGGCCCTAACCCCCTGCCACTCGGCCTCTCTCGCTCTTCTTCTCTATCGCAGGAGGCGGAGGAAGAAAGGGATTGAGAAAGAGGAAGGAAGAGGACGCGCGCGGCACGGTGGCTGGCGGACGGGGCGCAGCTCCGTGCTCACGCCAGTGGGAGAGGAGCGAGCGGGCGAGAGAGACGAGAGCGGCACGTGCAGGAGGGGTTTGATCGGGGCGACCGTGTCGCTGGTTTTGATCCAGTGAGAAAAGTGGTGCGCCGTTGGATCATGATCAACGGCCCTCGTGAAACCCTAGTCCCGCCCCGGGCCAAGTGGGCCGAAAGAAAGTGGAGGAGGCCAGTAGCCGGCCGCTAGGCCGAGGCCAGCCGCCAGCGGACGCTGTCGCGCGAGCTGGGCCGACGCCGCAGCCGCGGACGGCCCAGGCCGAGTTGAGGCTGTCGTTTTTGTTTAATTTATTTTTTGTCCTGTTTTTTGGGCAAATTACAGTACAGTTTTCTGTTCAAAATAATCCAACGAAAATTTGTTCAGAAAATATAATAGTAAACAGGAAAAAGTTTCTGAAAATGAAAATAGAAAAATTTCAGAAAAAGAAATGTCCATGAATTTTATAAAGAAAATTAAAAAGTTCATGATTTTTTATTCGGTCAAAGAAAAGTTTCTGTAAAGATTAAAAAGTTCGTGAATTTTTATTCACGTTTTTCCGCTGCATAAATAATTAATAGTGCTCTTTTACAAAGAAAAATAAAAGTTTAGATAGAATTAAATTTAAAGAGCACATTAAAGTGATTATTAAAATGAATATGATTATGTTATTTTTATGACCAACGTTGTTAATAACATGATCATGTTTTATTATTGAAACTAAAGGTGCATTTATCTCTATTTTTGTCCAACGGTGATATAGTTTTAATTGCATAAACAGTAAAGTCCTATGTGGGCGGGTGCATATTGACCATGGGTCAATTTTGCGGCTGGGCCGCATGCACAAAGTACACCTTGTCAGTCAAAGTCTATTCTTTCAGAAGCATATTTTTGATGAATTATTGATCTCTACTCAAATTGAACTAACGAGATATCTGTTTAGAGATTACAAAAGTAGCAAAAATGCTTCTGAATATGTTTCAGTTTGTTATTTTTTTCTGATTAAATTGGAACCATCGAGAAAATTTAATCGGAAAAATAAAGTATAAGTGCATGTTTTTAAGTCATTATGACTAAAGGTAATCAATATATTGTCCTTCAATAGTGATTGAAATAAATAACACGCATGTTCAATTTGACCAACGTTGAATTAAATATGTGCGTTATCGGTGCATTGATTGTTAACAATGCATTTAAAGTTTAATACCACATGTGAGAAAAGTTTTGGCACTTGTGTCATTCATAACTTTGCATAGCAAAGAAAGTTTTTGCGATGACTCATGTACTACTTCAATATCACATAAAAGTGAAGAAGTCTGGGGGAGCTTTTAAAGCTATCCAAACAAATCCCATGCATTTCCATAGTGTCATGCTGGACAGTGACTTCGAAAGAGCCGAAGGACAAAATAAAGTTGTATACGAACAAAAGTCAAGATTGCAAGCATAACTTGCAAAAGTGTACCAATATCAAGAACTCTGATGAGTTCTTGAAAGTGCAATAGAATAAAGAACTCTCATGAGTTCTTGAGGGGAATGAGGAAATAGTACTCCCATTGTTCTTGCATGACTTGATCATGTGACCACACCAAGTAATAAAAGACTCCTCGTTCACAAGTGTTACAAATAGTTTCAAAATTATGGCAGCAAAGTAGTTTGTGCCATATTTCGAGGGGGAGAAAGATTAGGAAGATAAGAAATTCTCCTCAAAATTGAATACGATGCATACAATGTATGTTTAAAGTAAGAATGATCTATTAAAGAAGAATATGACCGAAAAGGGAGTACATCGCGCATATCATTGATATCCCAAATCAAATAAACCCAAACGGAAACTAGTAAATATACCATCTTTACAATAGATGGGATAATCTGGGGAGTAAAGTATGTTGAGAACTAAAGCTTGAAGAGAAGTGGGACCATATGTTCACTTCGAATGATTCAAGCACAACAATTGTCTCGGCGTTGTATGAACGACAGAAGTTGAGATGACAACAGATGTACAACACCCGTCGTTAACTCTTCAAAAGAAAATAAAGTCAAGGGAACTCTTGTTACTCAGGACTCTGTAGTATCAACCGTCTCTTGACAATAAAAAATAGAAACAACCCCAGATAGAAAATAAAGTGATTCCGCCTCTTTTGGTGAAGCCATGAGAGGCGCTCATTAATCGAAATGGCAAGAACCATGGAAGACGTCATGAGACCTAGAAATTCCTACTCGTTTTGGAACAAAGAATAAGTTCCCAACGGAGCCAAAACAGTAGGCTGTAATGGGTCTACAAGATTAAAATGTGACTCCAGAGGGAATATGAAAAGTCACTAAGCGCGACTTGTGGAAAAGGCTTTATGCAAAGAAAAGATAAGTGATAATGAGACATTATATGCAGTCTCATAAAAGGATTATCTTAGAATCACAATGACATTAGTGGCATACTAATATTTTGGAATTGCATCAGTTGGATGTAGAAACAACATCTCCCAAACGGAGATTTGTATGAGAAAACCCTTACACAACACAACCCAAGGTTTTTGTTGT